GAAGGAAGGAAGAAAAGAGAAGGAATAAGAGCAGGAACAAACTGCTGCGTGATAAAACTGCACCTGAACTAGATCTGGCTTTTATTCTTTTTGCTTGGTCTTGTTTTCTAAATATTCTACAGGGAACACACACTGAGTGTAAGGTAAAAAACAAACCACGACCTCATAGACAGCCTGAGCCATGCCTGGGTAGGTACGCGATCTGTAAGCCCTTTCTGCTACCATCAGAGCCATTGCGTGTCCAGTCGGCCTGGTGAAGTGGCTCCTCTCCTGTGGCTCTGCAAGCTGAGCCCTGGCTCTCCTGTCTCCCTATGGCTCTGTCAGGGGAAGCAGCGACCCTCCAGCACAACCCGAGGGTGGTCCCTCCCGGACACCTCTTTGCCCTCCAGCCTTCTGGAGCTCTCAGACCACTGACTCTGCTGCTGCAGCGATTAAAGTCCACCAGTGAAGTGCCAATCACAATAATTGACACTCACGGAGCACTTACTATGTCCTTGGCACAAGGACTTGCTTCCTTAATCCCAATGACCACATTACAGCAGAGGATGGGCAGGGAACCTCTCCTGCTGCAGGTCACATAACTGGCAAGTATCTGAACCCAGTCCACGTGATGCAGCCCAAACCTTGACCCACTGTGCTAAGCACCTCATACCATATACTGAGCACTTACTGCATGCAGGCCCAGACCGAAGATCTAAGCATGCCCACAAGGGGCTGAATGCCTACTGTGTGCCAGCCTGGGGTCTACCGCCAACTGTGGGCTCACCTAGAGTCATGGGCCTACTGTGTGCTGAGCTGGGGCACACAGTGAAAGCTTCAGAGTGGAAAGCACAATGTCACTGTAGTACAATAAGAGTAAAAATATTGATTTAAAAAGAAATAGCCACAGCCAATGTGCGTCAGGGGCCTATACTCTCATTTGCCATGTATGATTTCAGTCGACCCTCCCCACCACCAGCAGAAGTAGGTTCTGTCAGGGTCCCCATTTTACAGACTAGAAAACTGAGGCACAGAAGAAGGGATGTCCCTGCCCAAGGCCACACACCAAGCAAGAAGCAGAACTGGAGAGTGAATCTAGAGCCTTCCTGACTTCAGGCTGTGGCAGCGAGGAAGGGACTGCACCAGGCTGGTTGCGCAGCTGGGCCCTAGACGGCGAGGGCTAGGAAGAGGAATTCCACCTGGGGGGACCCTCCCAAATCAAAGACCTGAGGGCTGGGAGTCACAGGGTCAGGCTGCAGGCGCAGGGAGGGCGTGGGAAGATACTGGGCAGGAGATGTGGGTGGCGACAAACTGATGGAACACCAATCAGACAGCCTGTGCTTAATGTGATGGGCAGAGGGGAGGCATGGAAGGTTAATGAGCAGAGCAGATGTGCTTTAGGAAGAGTTACTCCAGCAACAGGCGGGTAGGATGGATGTAAGCCAAGAAGGGGCAAGGGCCGAGACACTTGCAATAAAGGGGTAGAGGATGGGGGGCAATGGACGTGGTTTTGGTTTGCCCCTCTTCTGGAGGTAGCAGGCCCCCCTTCCCAGCTCTGTCTCCCGATGTGGGTGGGGCTGATGGCAGGCCTAGCCAGCCAGAGACCCAGTGATTGGAGGGTCTGCCAGTCTGGTGACTTCTACTGAAATCACTGGCACAGGGCCCCTCTGTCTCTAGCGGGATGGCTCTGCCCGTGGCCGGGAAGCCAGGGTGGTTAGCGGCCATCTTTATCACCACTCGGGGAGAACCTG